GATATGAAGTTATAAATAAGGAAGAAACAAAGGTTTCTGGATTTATATACTACCTTATATCCTGCTCATAAAATGATGTCAGATAAGGTTGCTCATTGATTGAGGTCAAGACACAATGCTGGCTGACTGGGTCCGCAGGGCCATTAGACATTGTCGCGTCTGGGCCCAGTTGTTGCTGCCTGCGCTGTAAATGCTGCCGGAGGTTGACTGAAGGCTTAACTAGGTGGGAAGCAGGTGTGGAACAGAAGCCAGATAGTCGGAAATCTAAGGAAGAGCCAGTGTACTGGGGATCAGATTGGGAATCCTCTGAATTAATCGGCTCGTAAATTGACTCGCTTCGTCTGTTGTATAGACGCAGGCTGATTCAAAGATATAGGTTTATGATAATTTAAATTTCCATAAAAAAGCTTGGATATATGCTCAAATAGAATACGTATGCCGGTTATCACCGAATAAAACCTCGTTTTCAATGAATGATTAAATGACAAATATCGGGTATTTGAATATTTTGTGAATCCCAAACACTGTGATGGATCTTATAGATAAGGCAGTGGTCAGAGATAGTTGAGAAGTGGAATTTAAAATAAGAAATCATCCAAAATCGTTACGACTTTTGAAGCGAAGTGATTTAAAGACTGGGTAAATAAGTTTTGTTTAATACAACTATGTGAATCAAGCTCAAAAGAGTTCTTCAACTTCCCGCTCGAAAAAATCCATTATATAATAGATGCTTACGAGCTCTCGTAAAATCCTTTTCTTGGCGCAAATTTTGACCCAACATTGAGTCGAAAATTTCAAAGTTTTGTCATATTTTACTAAGGCCTAAAAAAGACACCAAATAATACTTGGTCTTCAAATGGGGTTTCCAATTATGTTTCTTTCTCTCTCACTCTCAATATATATATATATATATATATATATATATATGCCAAAGGGCTAGCTTAATACTCAATTTAAGCTGATCGCTTCTGTTCAAACGCTGAATTAACCAAAAACAAGTATTTAAATAGAGTACTATAAAAATAATTAAATTGAAAGAGGTTGTAAACTCTCCCGACCATTGTGTGTCATAAGTTCAGTAAGATTTAATGCTCTACATTGGAGACTTTTCTATTATTTTGAGGGTACTTAGTAGCTATATTGAGGGAGTTTTCGATTATTTGAAGAACGTAGTATTAAGTAGTAGGCAAAATGAATAATGTTAAAAACCGCATACCGAGCGTTTTTCGAGAGTCCTGAAAATCTGCGTCTAACAAGACCGCGCCTTATCTCCCCGACAACACCATTTCTAACACACGTCAAGCTACCAGCAGTAGCATTGCGGACCCTAGATACGATCGCACAACTGCCAGTTTCCTCTTGGTCAGGCAATCTTTTGGCATTCGATTCGTTTTCTTCGGTGGCAGCCTCAAAGATCGTGCCTGGGACGCCAGATATGGGCTGGCCCATACCTACTATCTGTCGACGCAGGCGCGGGACAGCCGAAGCGGCTGGCGATTGCGATTCGGTATTAAATTGCTGGAAGGACAATTCGGTGTCTTTTCCGACTTCAGCACCCAAGACCGTGGAACCAGTCGAAGA